AAACACCAAACCAAAACCAAGCCACCAACCGAAAAAAAAAAAAAAAATCTCTTAAAAAAATCACCTACGACCGCAATACAAATATACGCAGGAAAAAGGAGATCAATACTTGGTATCATCCAGCAACTCTGAAATTCGCTGGGAATTAAAGTGAAAGTAGAGAGCAGATCAATATATCACCTTATTCCATCCTAGGATCAAATATGGTAAGTCCTGGGAAATACACAGCACGTATTACTCGAATAATGAACGAGTATTTTAAAATTACAAAGTCTACACGCAATAGATAACACAGGCTAGTAAAGCTTACCAAAGTTTAACGGGGTGGTGGATTGGTCAGAGAATATTCTATGAATATTCCGTGTTTTGTGCAAATTAAGAGTTCCAGGAACTGCGTACACAAAGGTCAAAAAATATTCTGACGTAGTGCTTTACGTTTAATAAACGTGCTTAAGCGGCGAGCGGCCGTAAGCACACCCAGAGGGCGACAGGTGCAGATCACACCCCCCATCCAAGGCACATCTCCTCGTGCCCTTTGGTTGCAACGCGCAAGTTGCGTCCCCAAAATCTGCCAAACCCACCCGCCGAACTCCGAAAAAGTTGAGTAATATTGAAATACTGACTAGTTGAAAAGCCACTAGTATTGAAATACTTTCCACAGCTGCTTGTGTTTGCTAAAGCAGGAAAACAGGAGGATGGGAAACAGCCCTGAGGAAGAGGAGCAACGGCTCCAGCGTGCTCCCTTTGCTGCAACAGCTGGTGGACGCACTGTCTGGAGCAGGAGGACAAACCTGGAAAGCCCAGTGCTTCTCCATACAGGAGAACCACGGCACTAAAACCTCTATGTGGACAAGAAATATACATCCCTACGGATGTCCCCCCCCAGCCTCCACCGGAGGGGGCCGAAAGCAGAGGTGGAAGAACGTACCTGCAGAAGCGACAGAGTGGAGGGGAGGACACCACTCACTTGCTACGGACAAGTGAAGGTTTGCACCTTGGCTGCCACCTGCTCCAGCCACAGCTCCTCAAATGCTTTCTCCTCAAGGCGAGCGCGTACGGGATACTCGACAAAGATCTTCTGATTTTTCCTACGCAATCTCCCTGCTTTTTCACGCCACGCGATTCCCAGCTTTGGATGCTCAGTGTCTGCAAGGGTCCCAGCTCTCGGTGAGGTGGCTGGCACCAAGCCACACCTGCCAGCACACCACTCACCTTCTATGAAAAGATAACTCGTGTGCTCAGGCAAAACCAGAAATCAGCACCAGGAACCGAGGTCTAGTAGGATCGCCGCTGTAAAACGCAAACAAAACACACCGCGAGGAGCGACACCCGAAAGCTTCGCAGCGTCGCTGGTGCGCGAGGCACAACCACACTGCACCCATGTTCACCAGTCCCCTTCTGCTACGGGGAACAGAAAGCCGTTCCTGTCTCGCCCTCTCCTGCCACCTCCGCAGGCAGCTGGGGAAGAAGAGGACGCCTGGCTCTACCGCCCTGCAACCGCTCACAACTGGTGCTCCAGTTCACCGGGAAGCACGGAGCCGCCCCGCTCCCTTGAAGGCAGGCTGGTTTTCTCTCCACCTCTATGGGAAAGTGAATCTGAACTTATCCCTCTGGAGGAAATGAAGAGCCTTTTCTCACAGCTTTCTCGCTGCAATAAAAACTCGACTTACAAACTAAATTTCCTCCTCTTTTGTGCCTGTCTCCGAAACCACGCGTGAAACAGCAGAGCTGAGCATGCAACTACATCCTCAGAAGACGTATCGCTTTGAAAATGAGAAAAGCCCAGAAAGAAACCATGACAGCTATCAATGAGCAACAGCACAGACACAACCAGCAGGTGCCAGGGGCACGGGCAGCGGCACTGACCTCCCACACAACCTGGAAGCCCACCACAGCGTGCGATCCCCGCAGGGGGCATCGGCATGTAGGTGCTGACCAGCATCGCCGTCACCTTCGCATCCCAAGTTCAGGAACACAGAGGAGTCAGATGATGTGAAGGATCCACGTTCCTGGTGACACCCGTAACTCAGACCTTCACCTGGCCAGCTCCCTACCCGGGTCAGAGCTCCCCTGGCCCCACCATCACCTCCTCACCTATGGACCCACACATCTTGCTCTGAGCTGAAGGACCAAGCTCCTACCCACTCTCATTCCTTTAGAAAACAAAAGGGGCATTATTGTAAGATTCTCATTATCTTTTTTTTTCTTTTTTTTTAAATCCCTGAGATTTAAAATTGCCAATAAAACATCTGCGTAGTTGCAAAATACAAGAAGAAAAACATTGAAGGCACCTTTTTGAATTAACTGCGCTGCAAGAAAACCTATTGGCGAGCCTTCTTGCAGGATTGCCAAATGTGTTTATTGAAAGCACAGGCAGCTTCTTCCTAAGACCTTTTGAAAATCTAGAGAATTCAGTGGATTTATTCCCATATTAAGCAATTCTAAAACATTTAGAGAGAATCCTTGTGATTGAGGCTTGGAAGATGAAATGGAGGCAGACACAGTTATATGTAAATAGCTGAATCCTGATTCTTTTTTTAAAAGATCAAAGAAATTAACAGCCTGCCTTTAAACCTTTACCTACGTGCTTGCCCCTGACACCACCACCTGTAAGAGAATTTGCAGACAGAAGTCTTTTTTCTGTTGTTTTTTGTTTCCTTTTCTAACTTAGTTAGCTGTGGCAAGGAAACCAGACAAACCGCCCAAAAACATACTTAGAGGTACCAGCTCTGGCCACAACTGAAGACCTCTCCCAAGTGTCTATTTAGAAATGTCACATTACACCTCCACGACATCATCTCCACAGGTCACACCAAGCCACACAAAGAGCCAGAACATGCATTGGACAGAAGAAAAAAAAATAAAAAGAACATATAGCACTTATAAACCAAAAAAGAGCAATCAATTCCTGTAGGTCCAAACTAATGCTTTGCTCTAAATGTGCTTTGATTTTCTGTGCCGCTGGCAAAGGCAACAGGTTTCCCACAGAAAAACAGTGATTCCACCCAAACACAGGAACCACAGCGTAAAGCAAGTGCCGTGAAGCATAATCGTACCTTGGCAGAAACGAACGACTAAAGGAGGTTTTATCTCCTCGTGTTCCACCACACATTGAGAAGAATTCCCTTGAAGTTTTAGTTATTGAAATGTTGAGAAAAAACAGTATTTTTTAAATGTTGGAGTAAAGCACGAAGGTCTTCTATCGATATATCAAGACCACATTTAAGAAAACTGATATGAACAATATTGAGCATAAAGTTATGCTTGGAACCGTGAGCTGCTTATTTTGGAGGCGCTGATTGCACCAGTACCGCACCCTATCTGGAACGGACTGAAAACTGGGAAGCAGGGAACCCCAGACCCAAACAGCTGAAGGAGACCAAGCTTTCCATCACAAGGTTTCGGTCAGGTGTTACGTATTTCACATTCTTGTTTGTAAAAAAGCAAAATGCTCTAAAAAAAAAATGCTATTACGAGCTGAAGCTCAGGATTTCATCCCCTCCATACATCAGCTTGGCAGACAGGAAGGATGTTTCCCAACTTTTACTGTTTCACCTCAATAAACGTTGCTAAATTAGATGTGACCAATTCAGTGAACTGGCTTTTCAGTTAGGCTTTCAAACTTACAGATCCAAAGTGACTTGACTGAAAAAAATTATAAAAGCAGTGAAGCTCTAACTGTTGTCTACAGTATTCACTCCTCCAAATATCTCAATTTCTCAGAAAGACTATGGTATTTTTCTGAATACAGCTCATATTTTAAAGAAGACGTTAAAGCTGTCACCAGGTTTACCACCACCTGCCTTCCACAGATGAAGGGCACTTTGATGAATTAATTTGTACGCGTTTTTATGCAGAGTGATTAAATAAAGGAAAAGAAGGTGAGACAAAACGCAACGGGAATTAAGTGCTTTTATAGTCTATGCATGTATCTCCAAACTGCTGCAAAGCAGAAAGGTACTTGTTTGTTCCTGGGCTGCTGGAGGCACTTGGAAGTCAGAAAATACAATGATTGTCTTCACGAGAAGTTTTGGCAACTGCTATTTTCATTCGCTTGTGCACACGTTCCCTCCTCTAAACTACCACGTAGGCTATTTATTCTTCGAGGCACACCGCAGACACGCTGCATAGGTTGGTATTTTAAAACTTTCCTTCACAGTTGATTTGAAGATTGTCCATTTTTTTGAGTGTGGAAACAAAAAAAAACACCACCACAAAACGAGGACTCCCAGTGCAGGAAAACAGCTAATTTACTGGATGTGGCTGCTTGTTACCAAGCACGTGCAAAAGTGACTGCTGCACTCGGGTGCTGGAGGAACAGCATTTTATAACAGACTTTTACAGATACCTTTATAGCCAAAGAAATCCTTCAATATTCTGTCATTTGTGATGTCTGCACGAGCCAGCTGATGATACTTAACTTCTCTGAAACCAGTGGTTTTTCCTAAATGCAGTATTTTGCGAGCACCGTAGCCTATTGCAACGCATTCTGGATGCAGTGTGATGTACATAATGCAGCACCAAAGCTGGGATGCTTTGAGGGAAACTGAAGAGGTACATGAAAAAAAAAAGTAATTAAAAATCTAGTACATTACGTGATTCAAAATCCAGCCACTGGATTAGAGTTTTCTTGCTTAAAGTGACGGACATCACACCCTTTTGACTTCAGCCTGAACAGCGTAGAGTGATCCATCATGAAAATCAGGAAGCAATCAATTGATGTGTGCCTTCTCTGTCCAGTCTTCTTGCGTCAGATTTTTTAAATTATTCTGAAAGTCAAAAGCAAAATTTTCACCGGTGGCTTGAGCAAAAGGGTTACTAAAGAACAGGTTCACATCCAGTGGCGCAGCAGTTCCAGAGTCCCAGGAGTCCGTGTCTGTGCTGCTGGAGTCTTCCGTGGTGGTAGGCGGATAGCTCAGCTGTTCCAGCTGGTCAATGATGTCCGTGAACTGGAAGGCTGAGCTGGACTCGGAGCGGACCGAGTAGGCGGGGAAGTTCACCATGGAACTGGCCTCGGAATGGTTGGCGGAGCTGCAGGCGTGCAGGGAGGACGGGCCGTTCAGCGGCAGATTGTTGAGGGAGCTGCTCTCGGAGCGGTTGTTGACGAGCGAACTTGTTTCGGATGGGCTCAGGAGGCTCTGCATTCTGCTTGCTTGGGCCTTCACCTCAAACAGCTCCGACGTATCTGATGGTCTCTCGTTGCCGTTGAAATCGCTCCCTTCTTCGAATTCAAACTCATCTTCTACGTTCATATCTACTGCTTCGGTTGAGTACCTGTCAGGGCTTGACTGACAAGAGACTGTGGTCTGCTGAAGGGCATCTGCAGTTAAGCCAGACGACTTTGACACATGCTTAGAAAAATCAGAGCTCTCCAAACCACTGTACACGTACGAAAACGCCTCAGAGCCTCCAGCAAAAAAGGAAATTTCTGCTGGGTCATCATCAATAAATTCCTCCGATACCTGTAACTGCGAATTTGCCAACGCGAAAAGAGGGGCACCCCGACTGCCATGCTGATGCTCTTGTTCGGCAACGAGAACACCTGTGGTGAAGTCATCCTCATCATTGTCATTTTTACAAACAGCAACCCTGCCCTCCTTACTACTCTTCTCTACGTCTAGATCTACACCGCAACCACTCTCAACTACAGGACAAGCAGGGTTACAGTTTCCTGCAACACTACCAAACCCAACACCTTGGAGCATGGGAGATCCAGGCTGCTGCATCAGCTTCCTCCCCGCTTCTTCTGCTGGTGCTGCGGTGCTTTTTTCTGGAATCCTCGTGTACGGCGCTCGGGGGTCCAAAGAGGAAGGGCTGGCTTCTGCAAACATGGGCAGGGCAGGAGCAGGAGTGGACGATGAGCGAACTGAGTGGAAGGGGGTAGCTGCTGAGGCCGGAGACCCCGGCGTTCTCAAGCCCTCAGTGAATGGGACACTCTAAGAGGAAAAAAGGTAGAGATAGAACACATAAAAAGGTTTTTATAACACATAAAAACACACGCGACATCCAGCTCCTGATGCAGAAGGAATACGTGCTTCAAAAGAGCCCACTTCACAGCAAGCAAAACATTGTACGCAGCAACACATCCAGCATCCCAGTAAGAGGCAAGATCTTTTTTTCCTGAACTCTGACAACTGGATGGAAAACTAAATCCATGTATTTTACAGCCTCTGCTGAAAAAGCATCCGCAAGGGAAAGTAACACAAAACGACAGCGAAATCCTGTGACGCCCCTTGAACCTCTCGCACGTTAAAGCAAGCCCGCCCAGTGAGACACGTGTTTCTTGCCACCCAATTTAGAAGGCATCTATACAACGAACCTCAGACTTCCACAGAAAGCAGTCAGGTAGCACCTGAAGGCAAACTAAGCCTCCAAAATGATAACATACTGGAAAGCATGGCATGTTCTTTTCAGCTAAACTGACTCTGAAAAGGAAAATATTACTCGACCGCAACTATCAGAACTGATACCACCCCCGAAAGAAGAAAAACCGTGCGTCAGGGACACAGACCAAGCAGCGAAAGCAATTCCAGACCAACGGTTCCCTTGGATCACCTTTCCTTCACCGTGATCTCAGGAGGCTGTTTGCCAGCTCCCCTGACTGCCACACCGAGCGCGCCGCGGAACTGACCTGTTTTGGCACGTCGGCGTTGGAAGCACGAGTGGATGCTCTGGCTTTGCTGTGCCTCCTGCAGAACAAGAGAGCACCCTGTGAGTTTCCTAGACATCAACCAACCTTCTCCATTCCTCCTTCAGCTATTTCCATTCTAGCAGCCAACAGAAACATCTCAAGCTGTTATTTTATCACGTTGTGTTCATAACTAGTTCGAGATTTTAAAAGTCACAAGAATTGTAAATTAAACAATGCAGGAGTAAGAAATGTAAAGAAAATGAAGTAAAGCAAGTTCCAGATCATTCATACCACTGAAGAACTCAAGGGCAACTTGGGGCAGAAGACTGGACTAACCAGCACAGTTAGTTTAACTTTTTCCTTTCATCAGTACAAACATCTACAAATGAATGGCTTCAAAACCAGAATGAGTTAGTCTGGAACAATTTCACAAACAACTTACAATCCAGTCAACCATATAATTTATGGCAGCTAAAATTCTATATGTTACACCCCAAAAAGTGGCATCCTGCATCACACTTGTGGTTAGATTCATTCTATGTCAATAATTTACAAGAAAATCCATCTTTCATACAGAAAACGAGATCAACTGGAGTCCAAGACATGGGAAATATTTATTAACAGTAGATTAATGCAAACTTTTAAAAATTTCTATTAAGTTCCTACAATCTTTCAGATGAAAGACTAAGAGGAGTTTCCCGCACATAGACAGGAGAGTTCCGTAGTCAAGTAAATGACAATTTTATAATGAAAATGCACATTCTTAGTTTATTTATTTATATGCTCAGCAATGAATGAGTATTTCAGGCCACAGTTTCAGACTTACAGATCCCAAGTTGAATTATGTGCTGTGCCACTGGCTACCTGCAGAGCTACAGCGACATACGGACAAGTCCTCACTGATTTCGGGGAATCTTCGAAACACACTGAGCTTTAAGATGGCTAAGTCACACGTGCCCACAGACATTAAAATGCAATATGGAAACTTTCCTAAACTTCTTAAATCATCACGAAATTATAATTCTTTTAAATTTAGTTCAGTTACCTTAACTTGAGGTAGACCTTAGTAACTGAGAAGTCAGCAAATGACCACGCCTCCAAGAATCATTTAAAACCATCGAAATTCAGGAAATAAGGCACTGTGAAAGTCTCAAATACGTGTCACCTTACGAGATTATTCGTACTTACCTTTCATACGGCGTTTTCTTCATCCCACTGTCCTTAATGTAATCAACTAGTTGCTTCTGTGTTCGTCCACTGTGAACCCACAAAAGCACAAACGTTATGAAACGCAGTGGACTGTGGGTGGAATGACTTTAGAATACTTTTGCCTTTCGATCTCATTTTCTAAGATATAAGGAATTCAGTTTGAATAAATCTGTTATGTTTCTCCCTACCTGTATCTGAATGATGACCCTCTGGTGAAGAAGACTGCTTTAGCCTTTGGCTTTGGCTGATCAAACAGCCTAAAGAACGTGTGATATTCAACGCAGATTTTCCAGAAGTTTTTACACTCATCCCTACTTCCCAAGAGAAACTCCAAAGTATCTTGATACGGGCCCTGGGAACAAAACACAAAAGCAAAGTAGCACATAAAATGGCGATGGAGGAGAAAAGGAAAGCACGAACACATGCCAACAAAAAGGCTGAACTCCAGGGAGATGCAGTATTTTGCCAAGTCCCTCCTCACATGCCTTAAAGCAATGGAAGCGATCCTGAACGCAGTTTAAATCATTGAATAGCTTTCAAATGTATTTGTTCACCTTGAAACTGTAAAAATGTTTAAAAAGCACTCGACTTTACAAACATGCTCAATATAACCCACCTGAAGAAATACAGATCAAAGTAATTTGAAAGAAATTACAGTACTTCCATGAATAGTAGTGCTTTTAAAATACTTTTTCCTTAGAAATTCCGATGCTCATCTTACTTCCTGAGATTTAGACGAGACTGGAAAACTCTGTGGCAGTCAGAGTGCAGCTATCACACGGAATTTCTGCGAGTGTCTTTGCCAGACATGCAGTGTGTCCCGCTTCAGGATTCCTTGAGACACATAACTCTAGGATGTCCAAACATGTTTTTCCCTCATTTTAATACAACCCTACGTTGAACAAGTCATCCAGCGTAGAAGCAACAACAACTCTGATGACATCTGCAACTGTATACATCTACTGTTTTGCCCAGAGAGGTGGTGGATGCTCCATCCCTGGAGACGTTCAAGGCCAGGTTGGACAAGGCCCTGAGCAACCTGATCTAGTTGGAGATATCCCTGTTCCTTGCAGGGGGGTTGGACTAGATGACCTTTGAAGGTCCCTTCCAGCCCTAACCATTCTATGATTCTATGATTCTACTGTAAATCAGCCAAGCATGAAAAATAACACTTCTGCTATACAACCACACAGAAAAGATAAGGCTGTAGCAAGAAGTAATCACACAGTCCTTAAAATTAAACTTCACCTCAGGACCATCTCGTCCTTCCTGAGGTATAGCAGGTTATTCTCATTTGAATCAAGGGACTCTCTACCAGATTTTTCATTCGAGCAGCACATATCCAACACGTTCCTGGAGGAAATGGCATCACTATCTCAATGCTTAAGTCACCTAGGTTCATTGTGACAAGAATGGATCAGAGCGCTCAGCTCATGAGAGCGTTAACCTTCATTTACAGCCAAAGAAAATACTAAATGTAACTTTTTCAGAGTAAAAGTACTGAGACAGGATGCACCAAATACCTGGGGTTGAGGGTTGTTTTTTTTTTCTATCTCACATTTACACATGCTTATGCTTGTATCAGGGATAAGCTGAGGCTGATACACCAAACTTAAACTCAACAACAGGCATGGGGCGAGAAACCAAATGAATGATGAAGCCAAGCCTACCCCACTGAATTGTTTTATAAAATTACAAACTCTAGAATTTTTCATAATAAAATTTTTTTTTTCTATCTCACATTTACACATGCTTATGCTTGTATCAGGGATAAGCTGAGGCTGATACACCAAACTTAAACTCGACAACAGGCATGGGGCGAGAAAGCAACTGAATGATGAAGCCAAGCCTACCCCACTGAAGTTGTTTTATACAATTACAAACTCTAGAATTTTTCATAATAAAATTAAGTATACATATTTTTTTCCAGTGCTGACCAGCCTACTGTTACAGTAAAACTTACACAGACCTCTGGGTGGAGTTTAATAAGGAATCTTTTCCTCTTGAAGCTTAGTTTACGGACCTTCGACCAGTTGAAAGTATTGATTTTCGTATTGCCCTGAATTAAAACGATAACAGTTAAAAGTTGGCAAAAGTTTCAGAAGTAAGAGCAGCAAACGAAATCCTGTTGCGGGCACGCGGACACGCGCACGTGCACACACACCAATCCCCATCCCATTCCATTGGATTTTTATTTCTGGTGACAATATTCCCTTAAACAATTTTCTCTTTCAGTACAGGGACAGCTACAAGCATTGTCTGTCTGTCTGTCTTGGCGCAGACACTAGAAAACAGAGAGAAAACCTAGAGAACCAGATGGGAAATAAACATTTCAACCCCATCAATATTATGGATATTTTACGGTACAAGCAAGACAAGGCTTTCATTTTATTCAACACACATTCCCTTTCCTCTAGACACACTCCTCCAAGTCAATTTTTCCAATTTTTCTGATTTGGCAAAGCAGTACTTGCCACGTGCACAAGGAGTCCTGCCAAGCTCTCTTGCTCACCAAACTGCTTATTTAGCTAAAACCAGGCTCTGCCTTCACCTTGCTGCCCTACATCAGCCCTCCCCTCCCCATACCACTGACTCCCAAAGCTTCGGAGAAGGACTCGTCAGCACTCACTACCACAGGCATTCTCCTGTCACCCTCTATGAGCAAAGAGAGATGAAAAAATGGTGAAGATCATGAGGAAGACCCAAATGAGCAGAAATGATGGAAACCTCAGGGGCTGAGAGGCCACTGGGGAGGACCGAGAGGACCACACTGGCTGATCCATCTCCAAAGAGAAGCTGCCCCGCAGTAACAAAAGAATAGGTAAGACACAAAATGACTGGAAAATGAGTGCCCACATGGAAATATTTCAGTTGGTCAGCTGTCTGTGTGTTTCGGGGGGAGGAAAATAATATGTTGGCATTCATAAACAGAACTCTGACCATCGAGTCGCTTATTTAATACAACAAAGGTAGTAATTCTAATTGGGGCAATCCCTTCAATACACTAAAAGCAATGTTATCCCAGCAAAAATACACTGTAATGTTAAAACAAGGGAAACAGAACCAAAATTGCAGGATTACAGACCTGTTCTAGAGCTGTACCAAGTGAACTGATGATTTTCTCTGAACACATACATAACTTTCAAACAGACAACAAAAACCTTTCTACTTTGGTGTCACTGTTGGTTTTGATGCTCTTCTCTCGCACCAACAAGGGCAAACTACACCAAATGATATTTTGGGGGCTTAAGTGACACTCCCCTAACCCTGAAAATGTGCTAAATTTTAAAGACATCAGAGACACCTGAAGTTAAAGTTAGAGACTTACTCCCAAGATGTGCTTAAAGCAGAGACAGACCCACGTACTCAGCCTGCTCTCCCCACCTTACCTGGAATACCAGCACGCCCATGTGTGAAACAGCCAGGTTAATTTTGGTGCCCTCGCGGTCGGAGGCAAGGTGAAACCTGATGCCATACATCTCCAGCTTCCGAGCAATTTCAAGCACTTGGAAGTCCGATTCAGCAGTAGTTTGACCCCTGTAGTGAAGAAGAAAAACGAAGTTTTAAGAACAATCTGATTCTACAATCTTGCCAATATGGCAATTAAGTCTTAATTCTGGCACTAAATGAGAATTATCTGTCTCCTCTGGTTGGGCAGTCTCCTACGCAATGGCAGAAGACCGATCTAAAATGCATCCCATAGGCAGAAGCACTGAAACAAATGTTAACTAGTTCAGAGCTTTTTCAGTTTAGAAACAATAAAGTTGAACAAAAATTCAATCCACAATGCTCCTCCTTCTGCTCAACTGCAAACACATTAATATCAACGGGATAAAAAGTGAGAGATGCAAGAGCTGCGCAGCCAGCACGACAGAAACAAAGCAAATACAGCAACAGAATGCCCCATTTCGGGACCATGCCAGAATTATTACAGTAGTGCTATCGAGCCCAAGGCATGCCCCCAGCCTCTGACTGTATGATTTCCTCCTTGGCAAAGGCCACAGAGATGATCCAAGGGCCG